TTTTTTTTTTTTTTTTTTTTTAAAACAGCTTTTTTACACCCCCAAGGTCTAGGGGTTCTGGGGAGGTAACATAGGAATGTGTTCAAAGCAAATAAGTGGAATGTAAAATTATTTTTTACAAAAGATGGTTAAACAGACCCAAAACACAATACAGCTTAAGCCAAAACAAAAGAAAAGGGAAAAACAAATTCAAGAATGGTTAAGTGCAAATGAAACCACAAAATGTCCAAGCCAGTCAGTCTAAGTTTAACTCAAAACAACCCAAGAGAAAATACAAATGGAGCACCAAACCTCCCAAACACAAGCTTCTAGCTTGAACAAAGTCCACATAAAGCTGGTTCATAAAAAAATTTCAAAAAGCTAGGTTAAAGACTTCTAACTGCCCAAAAGAGTTTGACCACAAATGTAGGGGATCAGCTTAACAAAGCCTCTTCCTACTAGCTGTCCCCACACTGAATGCTTTCCAGGATTCTCTTATATGGTGCAGGTGGGCCTCGTCAACATCCTAATTGGCTTGACAATCTTCTGCTGGTCCAATCATGTCACTGCTCCTCTGCAGCCCTCAGACAGCCAACAAGGAATATTTCTGTCAGAGCTGAACCTGCATAAGAAAACAAGCCTGTACAGTCTTAAATGCCAGGGACCGTAACAGGTGGAAGAACAGCTTCCTGCCTGTTGGCTCCACTGTAGGATCAGATCGAGCACTCATCTTCACTGGCACTTTCAGTTTGTAGGCTCCTACAAGATGTGATTGGGTCATCAGATGATGGCTCAACTATTCCCAGACAAGAAACTTTTATTCAAATGCCCAGTTTAAATAAATAAAAGAAACCATTGAAGACTGCAGCTGTGTCTTTAAAGCAGCTTTCTTCTTTGACAGGTGTGTTGGTAGGTAGTAATCATTAAACTATCTCATGTAAGTTTAATTTGCACCACTGGCTTGAAAAACGACCTGTATTCCAGTTAATTTCTTTTGCCTTCTTTGAACTGCACAGCCTCCCTAGCAGTTTCTTGGTATTGCCTGGCTTGGTTAAATATTTGTTGTTGTTTTGAGATCAGGGCTTCAGCTCAGAAAATAAATACCTAAACTTTGAAAAAAAAAAACGATTTGATATTTGATTAGTGCAAATGTTCAATTATCTTACTTAAAACCAGAACTGAACGATTAAATCACTTTTCTTTAAGGTCTTTATCCTCTGGCCTTACTATTACACCCCCCCACCCCCGAAAAGAGCTGGGTCATATCAAATTATAAGAAAAAATATATTTTTTCAGAATAAAAGGTGACACATTTTAGAGGCAAGTCCCATAGGGTCACTGAACAATTAATTAATTATTAATACATTGTAATTTTAAATATATATATATATATATATGCTACTTGTTTTCTATAACAAGCACATATTTCAGATCCTCAGATTTTTGATTATATCTGAGGATAACTCAAATGAATTTCAGAAACTTTTCTCAAATGCTGAATTGAATTATAAAAAAAGAAAAGAAAAAAAAGCTATACAAACTATACTTGTCCATTATAAAAAAAAATCACCATCCTCTTCAATTTGGGACTAAAGCAAACCACAGTGAGAGCCAGTATTGACAAAAAAAGAATAAAAAAACATCTCAAGCCTAACTTGTCTTAGCTAAGGTATGTATATATTGTTTACCTTTAAGAGAACTGGAAAAATTATTTCAATGGGGGGAAAAAAATGCTTATGAAGGAAGAACACAGCAGTGTGATGGTCTGGAACAGCTTGCTGCCTTAGGACCCGAGGCATTTACTTTTTCAGGAAATACATGATTAACCTATAGCACATTATAGTTTTGAATGGTTACTAAAAAACGTAGGTCTTTTTGTTAAAATAAAATTGAGAGCGACCCGAATTTCTATCTCGCTGTGCATACGCAAATAAGCTGATGGTACTGATCGGGTAGTGACAGCCATAATTGGAATCATGATTTCGCTCTATTAAAAAAATCATAAAGGACAATGTCAAGCCATTGACTGAATACCTTAAGCTAAAGAAAACTGCAGTTAGAGAACAAATAAATAGTCTGAAGGACATTTTAACTCTGCCAAATAATCCCCCAAAAATGATGTTTTTGAAAGGGCTACAACTTTAGTTTACCTCAGTGGCATCAGCTTATAAACACAATATTTAATAAAAATATTAATTTAAATAATTCCTGTTATTGTATGGTGATGTAACTAAAAAAACACATATAAAATTAACTGGTTAAAAACTTTTCAAAAAAAAAATGTTTGAAGGGATAAACACTTTTTCAAAACCCTGTTTTACTGTGTTTAATGTCTTCCAGAGTAGGGAAAACTTAAAAATAATAAAAAAAAAATATCTCATTCTTGGAAATCTTCTGGGATGTGTCTTTAGGTTCTATCGGGACATTGTTTTAATGCTGTGAGGTCCTGTTTCTGAATGTAGTTCATGTCAGAAAGTGAATTGAAAACTCAGGAGAAAAGCTGCCAGAGGGGATTTTACAGAATGAAGGCTGCTTTATGTTCCTTTTTTCTTTGCTTTCTCCTCAGTGATTCAAGTTTGGTGTCTTTAATCCCTTTACAGAGAGAAGGGATTGTACTGCTCCTTTCTTGCTGGAAGCACTGTTTTTTTAAGCCTGGTTAGCACAGTCAGAAAATAATATTGTGGTACTTTTCCATTTATTTCTTTTGTCCATTTTTTCTTCAGCAAAGGTCTTATTTTCAAAGATTCAGAATTTAACACTTTTTTCACTCTATCATTGCTTTGAAGTTTTACTTTATAAATAGAGTTGCGTGTTATCTTTTCAAATCCTTTGTATTTGTACATTAATTATACACACAAGTGAAACTTCATATGTCAATGCACCTTGAAAATATTTTCCCTTAAATCAGACAAAACTTTAACTAATATGACATCATACTTATGGTCATGTCAGTTTAAAAGACCCAGTTGTTCCCTAGTTTAAGCCAGCACATGCCTGACGTACGAAGAATCTGGCAAAAACGATGCTGTAAGTAGCATAAGTTATGGGTCAGTTTTGTATAAGTTATGAGCATGCTGAAGCACGCTGGCACGTCGACATATGGCAATTATGTCACAAACGTATGCCAGAGTATGCTCATATGTGGTCCATAAGTTACAGGTAAGATATTTGATCGTTGACATACGTTAAATCTAAGTTACTCATAAGTCATGGTATCTAGCCTTACTGTATCCAAAACCTATGAGTAACTTGTGCATAACTTATGGGTAACTTACCAAGAACATATCTCCAACCCATATCAACTCATTTAACGTGTTCCCAACGACCGCTGAACGTGTTTCTAACTTATAGCTACAGCTTATTGGCAGTGTTTTGGTATAAAAGGGCGTTCACAGGAGGAAATTGTCAATACTCCTCCAGACTTCAGACGCTTCAACACAGATGGAGGATCCAGCAAGGCTGAGGTGGGAATACATACTAGCTGTCCTCCAACATCAGCATGATCTGAGCATGATGAGTGTGATGGAGCCTCCCTGCGTTCACGCCCACAGCCACGACCAACAAACTTCCTAGCAGACATGACGCTGAATCTGCTGCGACTGCAAACCCTCTTTCTCTTTCTTTTTCTCTATTGGTGGGCAGTAAACAGCAGCTAGGTTAATACCAGGATCAAAAAATATCTTTTTTTGCGGACCAGGTACCACCAGGAGCATTGCTGCCCCCCTCAGGACACTGGCTTATAACATACGTATCATGGGCATTACCCTGCTGTGTGTTATGCATAAGTAAGGCTGTCATTGGACATAAGTTCTTGACTTGTTATGAATACTCTATGCATACGCCAAAAATGAAAAAAAATGTCTGACATATGCTGGCTAAATCGTCAAGGTGTGACGGGCTTTAGCAGATGTCTTGAGATATTGGTTCAGTATGTCAAGTCGAGTGAATAAAGGTGAGAGCAGAACAGACACCAGAGGCTGCAGGCATACCCTGTGCCTTATTTATAAATCTATTGGCTAATTACTTTTTTATCAGTAGAGCCTTTCAAAACAGGTACAGGTAATAGATAATGAGACTGTTACAAACTTTAACCACTTTTGTCATGTGTTGTCACCAAAGTCTCCAAGACCAAATAAGATTTGATAGATTTGTTGCTGGTCTCTATAAAAAAAAAAAAAAAGAAAGAAAAAAGGTAACATTTCTAAAAAGGTGCTAAATAAAGCAACAAATTACTAAGCTGACATCAAGCAGAAGCAAACCTGGCTATTCGTTTATACACCTCTGGGTCAGCAGAGGGCAGATCTATGCTAAAGGCAGCATAGATGACGACATGAAGCCGCACTTTTAGACACACCCTACAAATCCTAAAACACAACAATATTGAAACCAAATTTTAATGCTAGTGTCATATTGCAATATAAAAAGGTTTGAAGACTTTTTAAACACATCGAACAGGCATGCACAAAGTCTGTCTTTGAGGGCCGTGATCCTGCAGGTTTCCCTGCTTCAACACAGCTGATATTCATTGATAGCTGATTAACAGCCTTTTGCGGAACTGCAATCATCACAATCAGTTGTATTGAAGCAGGGAAACCTCTAAAACCTTCCGGACTGCGGCTCTTGAGGATCAACTTTGGGCAGGCCTGGTGTAGAGCAATACATTTTTGACAGAAAGTGTAAAGAAAAAAAAAAGTGAAATTCTCTTTACATGGTCTTTTTGACACTTTTTGTTGTACCTGTTATTTTTAGCATTTTAAGGATATCTATAATCATATGTGCTGCATTCTCCATCTACCTTAGCCACCTGTATTTTTGGGTACTTTTGTGTCATTCTTTAACCGCCATCAGTTGCCAAACAAAATAATTGAGATTGCCAGAAATGACCCGAGGGCAGCCTGTACACCCCAGGGCTATAGGATTTAGATGCCACTATCCTGCCAGTAGGGTTTACTGAAGCATTCAATACCTGACAACATCACACTCCAACACATGCTACCTTAAACTACGTGATGTGGTTTTCCTCCTTATATACTGAGTAAACCTTATATTGACTTTATCACCACCACTACTCACACCCCTAAATAACTATTAAGATAGTCAAGTCCTACACAGTTTTTTACTTGCTCACAAATTGACAGGTTGCTTTTTATGCGCAGTATGGCTACCTTTTGTGGATCTGACAGCAGCAATTTCTTTGCTCAACTCGTCAAGAGGGATATGTGAGTTCTGTCCTTGAAAACCACCACTTAGTCTTCTGCAGGTGTAGGATGGTGGAATCAGTACCTCTCAACCTGTATAAAGGACTGTGTGACAGCACTTAAAAGCTTTTTTAAAGACATGCAGTGGCATCCAAAATGGGTCAAAAACAGAAATTGCAAATCTGTTCTCTCAGATACTATCTGACTACCCAGAGTCATCAAATTGGCAGGTATAATAATAATACTAACTGCGGGTCATGAGTTCTAAAAACTGTTTGGCTTGACGTCAAAGCCATAAATGAAGCAGTACAAAAAGAAAAGAAAGAAACCCAAACTTTTTACATATCTGTATCAACTATTTGCCTAAGTTCATATCCTTGAGCCTGTCACTGAAGCTCACCACAGAATATTGGAAAAAATATGTTCTACTTTTATTCAGAGATTTTACCTGACAGCAGTTTTCACTCTTTAAAAGCACAGATGGAGAGAGACACACATTCTGCTCACTGTGTAATCAAAAACAAAGCAACACCTGATCGGTCTAAATGAAACCTTATTTCCTTAATTTTGTCAGACTTTACTTGAAAAGTCAATGGCGGATTTATATATATATATATATATATATATATATATATATATATATATATATATATATATATATATATAAAGCACATATTTGGATTATTATCAAGGTGACATTGTTTTCCTGTTTTGGAAATAAAGAAAGCTACACAAACAGATGACAGAGAGCTAAGGATCGATGATGTGCTCATGCACTCATGATTCCATTAAGATTGGCTGCCGAAGCCATGATCAGAGGGGAAAAGTCAATGAAGATAAACCATGTTGTTTTCCCTCAGAGAGATGTGAGAGAATTAGTTTATTGAGATGCTGTGGAAAATTTCAGTCTTCACAATCGATAAATGCCAAACAAAATGCAGGAAGTAAATTAATAGAATACTGGGTTGTATATGATTTTTGTTTTTATAAGAAAACACAGCCTAAAAACAAATAAGAAATAAAGACAAAATCATAATCTTAGCTTGACTTTTTATTTCCCCTGGAAAAGATCTGACAAAATCCTTAAGATAAATCTATTTTTTCAATAGCAAAATCAAAATGCAGGAAAATAAATGCTTTATTTGAGTGAATTAATTTAATAAAATAATGAAAATACTTTTTTTTTAAACAATTTGATTTTAGCAAATTCCTTAGTCTAATACATTTTGACAAACCTAGCAATGACTTTAAAGTTAATTTTGTGCTAACTGTTTCTTTTTTTTATTAGGTCTTTCTTTTTCTTTTTTCTCCATGGGGAACAAATGATGTTGATGACATTTAAAATGTCCGAGCCAGTGTTTCTTTATAGTTAAGCACACAACCCCTAACAAAGATTAGATTACAAAATAAAATTCTTCTTATTTTTATATTTCTGAGGATATTCTAATTTCTATATTGTGTTTTCCAAGCATGTAGCCACTTGGAGTGTTCCTGAATTCAAAAAAGTACTGCGAATGTCATGTCTCCACAAATATAGTCCTCCAAATTGTGTTCATGATATTTCTTTATAGTGCAGATGAGTTCAGAAGACTGTTAGAAGTAAGATTTTAAAGTATGATGTTCAGATGCTGTCTGGACTTCTTAAAAAACCTGAAGATGTAATATGCTGTATTGTCACCCAACTTCTCTTTACTGTGGTTTGTTCTATTTTCCTAAACTTCCTAAACTTTATACCCTGACCTTCCCACAGGGGGCACTAATTCCCTATGACTGATGCTGCAGCCATGGAAAGAGAAATGTTTTCAGATAACTTATAGAAATTAAAGGTCATGTGCCCCAAGTGTTTGTTTAGGTTTTTTATGTGCAGTTTTTCACAAGTTCTCTGACCTACAAATCATAAAGAATGTCTGTCAGGACGATCCATGTTCAAAATTCAGTCTAATATGTTTTCTCTTTTATCAGCTGCATCTTAACACCCATGTCACACACTTGAACCCAAGTCTTTATATTAATCAGAATCAGAAAAAACTTTATTCACAAGGACTGTTTTACACTCATGAAGAATATGTTTAGGTGAAAAGGTGCTACAAACAGGCAAGCAAACAGTTTACATAAAAAAAAATTATGATATATAATTTGGCCATATGAAATGTGAGTTGCTAAGGAATGTTAACATACTAGAGAAAGTTTAAATTTTTTTACCCTCCTCACCACATTAGCTCTGTCTGTTTTTGATGCATTTAACTGCATGAAACATCTCACAGACTACCTTCCAAATGACAAGAGTTCCCTCAGAAAAAACTAACACACAGCTACATTTCTCTCTAGAACATCTGGCGGTATCCATCTCCCTGCAAAGCGTTGCTTTCGCTGTAACAAGGATACATTCTGATCACTTAAAACACTAATTGTTCCACATTTTTAACGACTGCACCATCTGTCACGGGGAAGTGTCTGCTGTATTTGTGTTTAGGACTGCACCTTAATTCAGGTTGCCTGCCTGATTTCCTCTTGTGCTTAAAAGACTAATCTATTGATTTGTCAATCAATGACAGCTTTGATAACATGGAAATGAACAGTGCTCATGTGTGACTGCAGTTCAATTAGTAAGTCAGTCAAAAGAAGGCTAATTAAGCAGGAATTTTCATGATCAGTGTAATTTCTGAAAGGTTTGAGTTGCAGTTTAAATGTTATAAAACTGAATATTTTCCAATGATTTCAATGAGAATTTAGAGATTTGTCTGCATGCCAAATAAAAATCCTCTTATTTAAAATCAAGGGTCTATATAAGACAAGCACAAAAAAAAATAGTAACCATGTGAGTATTTACTGCATTTATCTAATAATACAAGAATTGGATGTTTAAAGTAAAGGCTGTGCTCTGCTGATCCAACCTTTAGCCCGGTGATCCTCCTCCTTAGGACACTGTCCTCCTTCCCACCAGCGTCTCTTTAGAATCTCCAGCCTGTTGCTTTCCTGCAGCTGCAAGATCCCCAGAGTGATTTCATCTCTGTAAGGAGAGCCTGATGGTAATAAAAAGCACAATGATGTGTTAATTACAGAAAACTAACCACTGTAGTGAATTTTGTTACATAATCCAAACTTTTTTTTTTCAGGTTTGTTGCATTTGTGAAACATGTAGACCATCAGGCTAATCTGCTTTCGGGCTGAACTATGTTTATCAATCTTTTCAACAAACTTCTACAGGTTAAATTGCACGAGTTATAAAGTCCTGACATTATGATGTATTACATAAGCTTTCATAACCTTTTAACTTCTTTACATGCAACCATAGGTGTTATTGTAACTCAATATTATTGTCTGAAGAGAAGAGATTCATACAGGTTAACATGAAGTAACAGATAAATCAGTATACTTCATTTTTATTGAAATTAAAATTAAAGAAATAGTAAATAGCCTGCAGTTATCCCATCCAACCTCATATCAACTCTGACTTGTCCTACTGGGAATGCTGTTAAAATAATTACAACATCATGATGCTGCCACCTCAGAATGCAGTCAGGGGAATATAAAGTTTTATATTTGATCTGCCACACATATATCAGATTTCCTGGTTAATACTCTACGTTCCATTCTTTTCAGTTTAGATGCCAATTTCCCATACTCCAAATCTGTTTTGAAGCAGCGACAGAGAGATGATCTATGAGTAGTTTAAGGCTTCAGATATATTTTCACTGTCTTACCTTTCTATAAAGAAAATTTGTGAACAGAGCTCTGATAATTGATGTCCCTGTGCTGGATAATAACCCAGCAGATTTGCTTTCATAATTGGACTATTATGGTTGTTGCTGTAAGGTTCCGCTTGAATTATGTATACAATTTTATGAGAACTGGCTTTGGGGGACAAACATGTAATCAACATGTAGAAAGGAAAGTGAGAAAGGGAGTGAAAATAAGCAATAAGGGAAGAGAGAAGAGCAGAAAAATAGAAAATACAGAACAATTTCTAGAAGTCTTCCTCCACTTGCAAGAAACAAGAGGAAAAAAAAAAGGTAAAACACACCAACCACAGCAAAAGAGGGAGTAACCCATGAACATGCAGTAAATACATCTAAACAAACATCAAAAGAAAAGCCTATCAAGAAGACACAATGTCATTCAGAGCTACATTTGGCTATACTTGCAGCTTTGTATTTATCATAACTGTAACAATGAAGACCTCAACCAATTGTGTCAGAATCATGCCAAAAGTCCACATGTTTGATAAATACTTATATGAGCAGTTTTATTAAAAAAAATCACATATTAACTACTATCCATACACATTTTTAATGTTCTATGGGTGCAGATTTAGTACTATAAGGCCCCAAATATATCACAACCATGAGTGCAGGCTCCTTTTCTGTGATTATAGTTTGCTTTTTATGCTCCTATAGATTCTCACTTAATCGCATATTTCTGTGCGGTTATTTCAATTTTTGTCTCTTTGAAGGTGTTAACCACAGGACAAAGTAACTTGTCTATGATTATTTACTTTTCAGGATGTCCCATCTCTTGCGGCTGTACTCTTTTTTTCCTGCTAGCAAAGCAACTTCAGGCTAACCACTTATCTCTAAGAGTTGGAAGTTCATAAGCAAAGTCATCCTTAAATATAACATGGTCTGGATACATACTGGATTCAGAGGGATCAACGGCCTTAGACAAAGTGAGGCCAGCCAGGGTGTGCAGAGGCAACAGAGAACACAGCTCCCACCTGGCGGAAAGAGCTGAGCGACAGCCTGACTTAACACCAGGGGCAAGGATTCACTGCAGAGTGCCACGCTCAGACACAACCCACAATCCAAGTTAATAATCAGACCTAGCCCTCGATGTCTCTAGCCTCACCAGCCTCGGCTAAGACCAGCCATAGTCACATCAAGAGACAGGGTTCATTTATGGACCTTCTCATCTTCATGTTGTACCTCCTCCCTCTTTGTTCTTTATTTAAAAATGATTTCTTTTCATTGTTACGTATGTGGACGACACACAGATTTATGTCCAGCTAAAGACAACAGGCTCCCCCCTCTTCTTCTGGCTCTTTTCATATGGATAAAGATGTGAAAGCCTGAATATTCCCGACATTTCTTAAAACTTACTGAGGAAAAGACAGAGGTGGTGATTTTTGACAGTCCCAGTGACAATTGCCCGACTGATGTTGGTTTGGTTAGCCCGTTACATCAGGCGTCACATTACAAATTTGAGGAGGAAATTGAAACTTGACTTAAGGTGGAAATTCACATCAGAGCTGTTGTAAAATCCAGCTTTTCTCACTTGAGGTGGCTGGCTAAAGTAAACTTGTCCTTTCTAAGCAGCATTTTGAAACCGTAATCCGTGCCTTTGTTACGACTTGGCTAGATTACTGTAATACTCTCGATATAGGAGTCAGTGGTTTGTGAATTTCAAAGCTTTAGAGAGTACACACTGCTGCTGCACATCTCCTAACAGTTACAACAACATTTAAACTAATTTCCCCTATTGCAGCCTCTCTGCACTGCTGCCAGTGCATTTTTGGATTGATTTAAAAACAGATTTACTTTAAATATTGTTTATTACATAAATTTTATGTAAACAGCATTATACCTATCAGTTTTTTTTCGTTCTTGTTAATTTCTTCACACATAAACGGTTCATAAAGGGCAATATAATCTAGCATTGATCTGATTTAGTCTTTATTTTCTCCTTGTTAATGATTTTTTTTTTTATTATAAACATATTGCACAAAATTCTTGGTCCAAACTACTTTATTCAATGAAGTAGCAGGGACTGCAGTTCCTCCCTTTCTTTTCTCTCGACGTTTATTGATTTGGGAGGAAAATGTAATTAGTAGACAACTGTTTCAAGACTGTAGATAGTGCAATTTTGAGACAGATGTAGGGTTTGTAAGAGAGTCTATGGGGTGAAAGGAGGTCATAGAAGATCAACAGGAATATTAATCCTACCCTTTGTAAGTTTTTTTTTTTTTTTTTTCTTTAGGGGCTGAAGTTTTCTCTTCTCAAAAAATTAGTTTTTATTATATGGTAAAAAAAATATCGCTGGGCAAGTTTTCAGAAAAATGAATGACATTAGGTAATTTCAAGATCCCCATATTATTAAAATGTATTAATCATCAAAACTGTTCAATGAACTATTTAATCCATCTACACATTAGATAATTTACATATTAGATACTAATTTACACATTACTAATTTATCACAGCTCGCTCTTAACAAAAAATGTTTGACACATTGAAGAGGAATTAGCTCAGTTTGAGTTCATCTTACTTGGTTGGTGAGAAACAAGCACAAGAAACATGCTTTTAAAGATAAATCCTTCGATAAATTTTAAACTAACTGTCTAGGTTTTTATTTAACTTTTTTATTAGAGAGTGATTTGATTATTTTCGAAAGAACTTCTCTGTAAAAATAATAATAGAAAAAAAAATTTGTGAAATTATAGGTCAGGTGACATGTGTTGCCTTAAATTAACATTGCATATGAACAACAACAGCATATTATATATTACTTACATCCAGACTCAAAGGTATTTATTTAAAATTTTCTGCCAAGTCAGGGTTGAGTAGTAAAAAAAAAAAGGTAAAATCCTTCTCTTGTCTTTTAGAACTACAAAAATTTTTAAATCTAAAATTCTCTGTATAAATCTTTGTACACTGTGCTCTCTGGTGCATGCAATTATTTACAGTCACTTTATTTCACTTCTCCAGCTGATGCTTCCTCTTTGTCTTTCATGATAAATTGTCTCAAAAACCTTCTTCACCATAGTTACACTAATGCTGATAATGACAAAAAGCATTAAAGAATATAAAACCCCATCTGACTTTTCTTTCTGTTTCCTTAAGCCGATGGTAATTGCTCGCTGTCAGTCAGAGACGAGTTCCATCTGGGGCCCACAAGAGATCATGCTGCTTATGTTTTCACTGCTTAGCATGCAGGTTGACTGACAGCCCAGTCTTCTGAATCTCTTTTTTCCCTTTGTTGGTTTTCCCGCGGTTCCCTCCACTCTGCCTGCATCTGTTCCTACAGTATTTATTCCATGGCTTGTTTATATCTATGCATCAACACTTATCTTTAGGAACAAGTGTCAGACACATGACTAGGTCAGACAGGATTCTGGCAGAACCAACCAAAGTTTAATTGAAATTAGCATGGATTTAATTGGCCAAAAAGAACAGATACAGAAATAATTTGGGTTGATTAAAGGCCGAAGCAGACTTGGCAATTAATCCTTTCATAACAAATATCTATTCCATTAGAAAAAAAAAAAAGAAAACAATATTTGAACATATCTGGCTAAATATAATGTACATGCTTCAGAAAAACAGTTTTGTTTTGCTGGTACTACAAGAAAATAAATATGAAATAAAATTAGAACCTAATTAAGACCGTTTAAGGTAGAGAAGATGCACTAGTGACCTAAAAGTTTGCGCTGGTTTGGTGTTGCTGTTGGTGTGATCTGTTGATAATATGTGAATGAGAAGTGACCTTGTTCTTATACTTGGAATGTTTTCAGAACCATACTTTTGTCAATAGGTAAAGTCACATAAAGACAGGAGATGGCATAACTGAACACAAAAATGCATGGAATACCTAAAGAGCCTTAAGAGATATAAGCAAAACAATTCAAGCTTAAACACTTAGAGAACATTAAAAGCAAGCCTTCATCAAAACTCAATTTTTTGGGGCTACTATCTATATATTTTTAAATATGTTTTTAGATTAATGAAAAACGTTTTAAATTAAATATTAGTATTTTTTACTGCATTGTTTTTATTTTGCAAATATTGAGAGTTATTCATGTACTTAATGAGGAAATGGTCTCTGATATATTCTATTCCATTCAGGGAATGCTCTAAATTAGGGGAGAAAACAAAAGTAAGTAAACAATTATAAATATGGAGGAGTGGAGGAGTAGAGGATGACTCTACCGGTAAGCTCTAGTTTACTTTGTGCCCAAAAAGAGCTCTACACTGACTGCTCTATGCTTCGAACCTTCAATTTGCCCCAAGGAAATTTAAAAAATGATTTAAAAATCTTTGGGGTGTGCTCACATTTTTTGGATTCTGTACTTTTCTTAATTTAAAACTGGGATATCAATCTCAAAAATATTCCTATTATAATAGGGACGTTTGAAGAATATATTTAATGAGAACTATCACGGTACAAAATCACATAACACTCCTAGTCTACATGACCTCATAGGGAAATAAATCCTCATGCATAGCCAAACAATATTTCCTTACCCAGCGGCATGCCAATGCCATATCCCTTTGTGTCCAAAAGGCCTCCGATCTGCGTGAGGTTGCAGTTTAGGCTGCGGTAGTACTCGTTCATGGTGCTCTCCATCAGGAAGGCATACTTTGAATTAAGTACACGGGCAATGCCCTCTTCTGTGCTCTTCACAAAAACACTGGGCTGCTTGGACTTCATGTAATTCCACATTCGCTGGTATGTCTGGTACCGTGAGTTCTGAAGGAGAAATTGGAGACTATGTTGATACTTCGCTAAACAGTATTATTAGCATAATTAACAGCTTGAGAGTAATTTTTATTCCTAAAAGATAAAAAAAAAAAGCTTGCTTGTATAGAAGCCTGTCTCACCATAAAGAACGTCATTGTGGATCCTCCATGTATGGTTCCATATTGTATGTTGGTTTGGTCGGCCAGGTCATCAGGAGACTCAATGGGCACCTCCATTCTCTGTACGGTGAGAAACGCTGCCAAGTTGGCAGTATAGGAGGAGATTATGATGAGAGTGAACGCCCACCTAAAGGATGGAAAAAGAGAAGTTTCAGCCTTTGTTTCCCTTGCCCCGCTCTCACAGTAGCATCTCTTTGGTTTTTATAAAGAGCTGACAGAGGAAGGAAGTATAGGGAGAGATATGGATGACACTGTCAGGAAATGTCAAGAGTTTTAGGTAAAAATCATCAACCTAAACCTGAACTGGAGCTGCAGCAAAATGAGTAGGATGCTTCTGCTGAAGAGGAAATGAAAGAAAAGTTATAAAGAACGGTATTAAAGACAAGTTTTTGAAAACAGCATGAGGAGCGAACAGGTGGAGGTGGAAGCAAGGCATGCAAATATTCCCACAGATATAAAACACACTCTGCACACTCTTTAAAATTAATTACATAAATAATCATACAACTAGCAATTCTCAAAAAAGCAGTTGGTAAATATATTCTTTTTAATCCAGTGTGCATTTATTATTGAATTCATACAACTGTATTTTCAGCCAGTCAGCCAGTTTAAAATTTTAAACCGAAGCAAACAAAAGCAGATTTCTGAGTACTTTGTAGCTGGTAAACAACCACATGATGCACAAACATATCCTTTTTTTATTGCAGCAATATAAATGGCAAGCTATAAACCTTTTGAACTCTTTTTATGTGTTTTCCGGCTGGCGCTCTTTAGCAGACAGACGTGAGAGCGGTGGAAATGGCCTTATCTCCCTGTCAGAAAAGAAAAGCTAATAAGTCTAGAATAACTTGTGCCACCAATATATTGTGGTGGGCCTTTCTGGGAAAGGATTTCAATGATCATCTGATATGATGAATAAATGCTGCTGTATATTGAACTTCTTTTATTCCATTATTAATCCATAAGTTAAGGTCTTTGTCTCTGGTAAAGGTTAGTTTTGCCTTCAGGCTTTTTCTCATAGAACAGAAGTTTCCTCTTCACACCTCTCCCATATAAAAACTTTTATAGTCTTTATTTTTTATTTGAATTTTCTGGCAATTGTGGCCTTTATTTCGAGAAATACAGTAATGGGCTTCTTCTGTTTCAAAAGAAAAGCAAGAGCTTGAGTTATGTCCAAAGATGACATTTTTTTTAGCTCAAACTGTTGTAAAAATTAAAAAATATGTTGATGTTTTTTGGTTTTGTTTCTTCACTTAACTCTAAGTTAAAGTTTCTAAAATCACTGCATGAATTTATTATATTTTTATTTTTTAACATCCACTGTATAGATCTGGATGCACTGTATTTTTTTTCATGAACCCTTTCCTCCTTTGTGCACCTTTTTAACATACTGGATGTTAAAAATGTGGCTAAATTTTTACTATGAACTCTACTTCCAGTCGACTTAAATAAGATACAGTGTTTTCTTGACGCTGCTTTATTTTTTTTAAGTCTCACCAACTAGTTCCAGACCATTCAGAGTAAAATGGACGGACATAATTAAAGCAGCTCATTTAATTCAGACAGAAGGAGAATTTAACTCTTTGAAATGTAAGGAGAAGGTTAATGGATGAAAACAACAAAACATTGAGCAGGTGGGAGAAATTCACGCAGCAGGTCAGAAAATTACTTACCGGGGCTCACAAAGTAAACCATTACTGGAACAGTCATAACCTGGTTATGGCTCTTTTGTTAGCAAAATTAAATTGGAAGACTCATCGTCCAAATAGACCTCTCCTAATTAATTGCTTTTATAAAACACTTTTGAAAGGTTAGGAGATTTAAAATGATATTTTTTTATGTTCCTTTACAATATTAGTATAACTCAATTCTCCAGTATTACGCAACATGGACATAACAGCCAACAACCCACTCAGTCATACAGAAAACAGACATCAAGTTGTTGCAACTTGTACCACAGCTATCATTAGCTTTTATGAGGCTAAGTGCCAGACTAGGCAGAGCGCTGTCAGGGAAAATCCATGATTGGCCCCTCCAGCCCCTTCACTATCGCTTTACCATCTGTCTAGCTGCCGCTGCTGGGACTGAGGGAGGAGAGATATGAAAGTCAAAGATACTCTGTCCAAAATGCTAATTACAAGCAAAACCCCTCATTTTCTTAATGACTTAAGCAAAAACTCAGAATAGCACTAAAGTTATGTGAAAAGGTAAAACTAAAACTCTGAAGAGCAATGCTGCATATTCCTGAAAGAAAAACCATACGCAGTTTTTATTTATGTTAATTCAAACCCATATTTAGATTATTGAAATAAATCTTTTTTATTCATATTATTTTGATAAAACAAAATCATTCATTATGAAATGCAATTTAATGTATTTAAGGAACAGTTTTAGAGGCAGAGATTACACAGTTCTTAAAGACAACATTAAATAAGACTAGCATGTGCTGTATCAACTACTTTATGATGAATAAAAGTCTGTATGCAGATCCTTAATTAATGTTTGCCACTGTAAATATCTTGAACTATGGAGAAGAAAAGATTTGTAGAGGAGTGGAAATAAAACCTTGGGAGAAATTTGCATAATTTTTACATTGGAGTCAATACCATCTGTTCACCTTCAGCTAATGTTCCTAAAGAAGGAGGTGTTGGAGGGAGGTCTGAAATCTGGACTCCCTGCTCTAGTGTTTCTTCTTCCCATTTATTCACCTTTCCTAGCTCTCATCCCTACTTCTTTACTTCTTCCCTGACTCCTGTTTTAATGGCTATGACCACTAGGAGATGCTATTTATTGTCACCACTTTGTTCCGGCACATTGACCAATATTACCGCTGATGTTAGATGTTACTTATATTGTACTCTATTCTTACTCCCCCAAAAAGCGATTTTGATTAACAGTGAGCAATATTTAAGCGAGATTAGATGCCAGAGTAATTTTGTCAGTTCACTTGTTTCAAGGTGTGAGGCATGCAAATTGGTTTTTCAGCTTCAGAGGACACTAAACAAACATGACAAATGCACTCGGTGTAATAATTGCAAGCTGTTGCAACATGCTTGTGTATTAACCTTTCATGCCTGGGAACAACATAAATCTCTCATTTTTGTTTTCAAGACACGGAACACTCTTAATTTTGTTTTTCCTTTTTTTATGTACTGTCAGTATTTTAGATTAAAAGCAGCAGGTTATGTTTCTCAGATTGTGATTGCTTTCAGAGGGTTCGCAATAATGAATAGATGGAGCTTTTTTTGTGCTGACTGGGAAATACTGCTTGAACTCTTCAAATAATGATCTGTTGACACTTATAGCTGCCTCCACTCTTATTGCCATCCCCAATAATAGATGAGGGAACGCCCTAAAAGACATTCATGTTTTATTAAGATCCTGTAATGATTTGTGGGCAAGGGGCTGGACCAAAACCTAGACAAAACCTCATGAACAGCATGATAGATAGCAGGATTAATGTCAATGAAGGACAAAAACGTGAAATATACGCAAGGAGAACAGGCCAGGGCAGAAAACAAAGCATCACTGCTGGGAGAGAACTGACAGTTTAACGGGAGGATCCAGAGAGGAACAATGACCAACAATAAACCCAAGCACTAAGTGAGGTGTGGGAAATGACATTGGGAGTCGCTGTTAGAATCAGAGGAAAATTAGGCAGAGTAGGTAAGCAGGGAGGCTGAGGTAAGAAGATTAAATGACACAGAGGATATGAACTAAGGCACAATAAAACACTTAAAAAGAGGAAAAGCTTAACATTGAACTGAGGGAAATAAATCCAAAACAAGACAAAAGAATAGACCACAGGAATGAGCTAGGAAAATGAATACAGAAAAAATTTGCTATTATGGTAAGTCTAAAATGAACATAATAAAAACATTGAGCGGATACTGAAAACAAAAAAAACTAAACTAAACAAAAACAAATGACCAAAAACACTCCTTTCACCCAAAGCTTCCATGTCTAATCTCAAATGTTTTATCTTTCCTCTTTGAGTGACCTGAGTCACTTGGTATATTTTTAACCAAATCAGAAGATGGTGCTGCTCCTATTTTCTTCCCCATTTCCCTTTCCGTCTCCAGAAGTCACTTAAAGAGGCAGCTGGAGAATAAGTCACCAGGTCAAGATGGTGTCAGCATAAGAGTCCTGAAGCCCTGTGCAGAGCAACCCTGAGGGATCCTACAACACCACTTGAGCCTTAGCGTCTGCCAGGAACTAGTCCCAGTTTTGTACAAGACAACCTGTCTTATTTTGGTCTCCCAAAAAAAGAAACAACAACTCAGCCATCAATCTATAATGATCACAGACCTGTTGCCCTTATATCCAACATCATGAAAGTCTTCTGTTGGTTCACCTAAAGCTCAGCAAAGTGGCATATGGAAAGCTAAATTTTGCCTTCCATATTGAACGAGCATATTACATTGTTGGGTTTAAAACATTTAACCGTTTAAAATGTAAAAACTGCCAGGTGCATAACCTACGCGTAACCGTGCACATGCTGCTCTGCTGCGCTTAAGCACTGTTACAAACCTGGTGTATATCCCCCTTAAGGCATAGCAAACCAGCATCTTTCAGGATCATCTTAGCACTCAGACTTTAAGATAACATGATACAACAAACCCTCTGGTTTTTTATACAAGACAGACAGCATTGTGAGGATCATGTTCTTTGATTTCTCCACTGCATTTAACACGATTCAGCTTGATTGCCATTGTCAGAAACTCCAGACAGCAATCAAAGACTACCCGAAAAACAGTCCAGTTGGTGAGATAAACTGTTTAACCAGATAGTCAGCAGTACAGGAGAATGAACTTTCCTCAAGACCTGACCTCAAGAACAAGACAGAATCTGGTTATCTGCTGAAATACTTGAATGACTTTGCAGTCATTGGGTGTATCAGAGATGGAGAAGAAGCTTAGTGCAATTTTGTGGCATTCTTTAAAAGCAAAAATCTGATCCTGAATGTAATGTAAAACAAGAAGACAATATAGATCTGAACATCGAACTTAAACAAGGCAGCAGTATTACCTTCATTGGAGAAATGAAGGTGGAATCTAAATACATCAGTGTTTACTGGGACAACAGACTCAACTGGAGACACAACTGTGAAGGTGTCTACAAGAAGAGGTAAATCGAACTGTACAACTCCAGAAAGCTTAGGTACATCACTGTTTGCAGCAGGATGCTGCATATCTCCATTAAGTCTGTTGTCAAGAAAATCAAATCATTTTAGAATGAGAAATTATTTATAAGCTGAAGAGCATTATGGAAAACCCTAAGCTTCGCTCTCATCAGACTGTCGAACGACAATAGTGTCTTTAGTCAAAAGCTTCTTCAGATCTGCTGTAAGAGCCTGCTACAGAAGATCGGGCCTGCCTACAGTCATCCACAAAGACATGTTGAAGAGCCCCGTACCAGAGTTAGAGTAGTTTGTTTCTCTTTGAAATGAATCAAGTTTTTCATTGCAAAAACATTCTAATAAAAGACTATAGATTTACAGAGCAGACTAGATTTAATATCAAAATATAACCAATTAAAGATTGCATAGCTTAAAAACAAATTTGAGATTGAAGCCTTAACACGTTGAAAATAAATTGTTTTTATAAAAATTTGCAGTGATTTACATATCTATTATCAAAAAACTTTCTATGATGATAACTTTCATATATTTTAGATCAAAATATTCTATCAAAACTATCCACCATGAAAATATAAATGCTTAGTTTTTACAATCAAAAATTCTATTTATATATTGGAAAGGTAGTGTAAAAATCCATGAAGGAAAACGTTAAGTAAAATATTCACAAACTGTTTTGAAAAAGAGAATAGAGTTACACACTGAGGGGTAGGGGTCAACTTAAAGCTGTTAGAACCAAAGAGAACTCCTTGTGTGTCTCTGTGTATGGGCTATGGCTCTGGAACAGCACAGTACCATAATGGAAACAATTATCATCTATTAATCAATTCAAATACATGTACAGGGAAAGTGTATTGTAAAGCACAGTGCAGATGAGGATTGATGCAGGTGACAGTGAACAAGCATTTCACAAAGACTGATTAAGTTTTTCTGCTGTAAAATGCAGATCTAAAGAAATAACTACTCCTGATGGGATTCATCCCATCCCATTAGGAATGGTAACCATTGTTAGCATCCCTAAATCATTGTTAACTGTAGTAATTATTGTAGTATATTACCCTTAAGGTTTTTTTTTCTGCGCATTGTTGGTAGTTTTAAATCATTGTTACCTGTCTGGTGCCCAATTAAGCTTGAATTTGTGTGTTGTCTTGTAAAAACCACAAATATTTTCAAATGGAAGTCTTTTTCTCTCTTTATTTTATTTTGTTTTGTTTTGATGTATGTGTTAGAATTTCTGACAGGATTGCATAAGGAAGCAGCTATTGTGTTTATGCAGACACAGTTGCTCTTTATGGGGGTAACTTAAATGAGTTTTAGGTCTCTCCGCTACTTTTCCGGGCATTTTTACACATGTTTAATGGTGCATACACTCCCTTTTTAGGAAATATCTGTAAGCTCTTAGAAATATTTATTCTGATTTGTTTTGATAATTTCTATTCAAAATGAATAAACAAATTAACAGTCAAAAAAATAGTTTTTTAGTTTCACACCTTGTTTTTTCCATTAATGATTGCAACAGTGCTATTACTGATCGTATAAACCAAAATGATTATGTAGGTTTACCAACATGTTTCTTCAGCCTTTTTCTTAGATAGCAGGTTGTGGTGTAGCAGTAAAGCAGTAAGCTCATTGACGAAGAGCGAATAAAAACCCTTAAATGTTTTAATTCAGGATATTAGGACCTTAGATGTCTCCCAGCTTTTCCCTCTGCAGGTTTCCTGTCTGGATACAGCCATCAAAAGCAATAGGGCAAAAAAAAAAAGTGGTTTAAACTTAACTTAATGAGTCAGTTTAAACGTCTACCATAAACAATGTCACCAACCCAAAAAAACAAAACTCTCTTAGTACCAACCAGACTCCGCTAACACAGCGGGTGGACAGGGCACGGGGCATGATCTCCGAGCCTTGCTGCATGAAGCCTCCAACTGGAAACCACAGACTGTTGCCCAGTGTGTACTGGTTCTCCAAGATGTCCCGTCGCTCCCGTAGACATGGATGAGGGTTGTACCACTCATAAGGGCTGAGCCTGAAATATAAAGCAGCAGATATGCAAAACACAAAAATTATAACAGTATTTATATATATATATATATATATATATATATATATA